CCAAACTGAGCACTCTGGAGGAGTCCATGAACTTCTTCAGTCTCAAGCTCATGGCTTTGCAACAGCCAAGTAAATCTGCATTATTGCACAGGTCTGCACCCCTCTTCTTTGTCTTTTGCACCTATTTCTGATCGTGACAGCAGTAGAATTATGTTACCAGTAAAACAATCAAGAATCTACCTACTCTCTTCAAATTTCCATTCACCTGTATGTTATAATAATTTTTTTAGACTACACTGTAGGCAGGAAAGTTAAATCAATTCAGGTTGAACATTACCAAAAGGGATTCCTCAGGAGACTATTTCAGGTTACATGTTCATCAATCGTTTTTTTAGACATGTAGAGATTAAAATACCTCATGATTCAACATCCATAAAACATGAGTCTTGTGTGAATTTGCTTGCCATGAAGACAGAGAATGTATGATATCCCAACACATTCCTGATACTGATCTAAATAATTCTGATTGCATGCACAGGCAGACAGACTTCGTAAGTAGATAAACTGCTCAAAATCCTAACATGTTTTATCACTTTTAAACTCATCAGGAATTCAGCATACTACTTCATAACAAAAGGTCCAACTACAAAGCCCCACAATGATTTAATCAGTGTTCCCAAGTTATTAAGAACAACTAATCATGCCAAATCAGACAAGTCTGAAGATGATGAATATTTATAAGGTTTTGTTATGTTGTTCATTTTGAAGAAATTCTAAAGCCTCGCTACAATTAAAGCATTTTCAGAACCTCAGTCCGCAGCTTTTTGCCAAGTCTGTAAATGACTCAGAAAATTCCCTCCTAATGATGGTGGCCAGGGCAGATGCCTGCCATGCTCTTGTTTCCCAGAGTCCAGGTCTACACAGCTTCTAGATCACAGCAATAAAACTTGGTCTGCCACAGGCTGCACTGCCAACGTGATCGCAGAAACACTGGTGTGCAACACCGGTGTACAGGAAATACCACTAGCATTAATGAGACCACACCACATGCGACCTTGGCAAAAACAAGGGCCCTGGTATTTTCACATGCGAGATCAGGCCCCAGCTGAGTAACTGGCCTGATAATTACAATGATGTGCTGGCCAAATGAGATGGGATATACAATCAGACACCATAAAGATAGTTTACTGCCTACATCTACAGTCCTTCACTTGACCACTCCACAGTTTCCAAAGCACTGGGTAAAAAAAGGCAGGACCTTATACAATTTGATGTTACACAGAGCAATAAAGGCTAACAAGTTTTTTTTAATCTCTAAATTACTTGAGCTTACTTTTCCTATGTCCTCAAAAATTGCCTCAAACAATTCAGCCAAACCTCCAAAGTAAACAATCTCTAACCACATTCACCAGAAATAGAACAATTAATCTTTCCCTAACAATTCTCTGCTTCAACAGTTTACAAAATTGCAAAAGGGTTTTGAAGCCTTTTTTTGAAGGTTGAAGGGTTTGGAAGACGTGAGGGACAAGGGGGGTAAGTAAAATAACCTGGTTTTCATCTTTAGATGTCATTAAAATATAGTAGCATTAAAATTTTCAAAGATCTGGCATAGTAATTTGGCTTACATCAGTATTTTCAAATCACATGTTACGAACACAACTGACCAGACTAGTTTCTGTGCTATGTGACCAACTGCTTCAAAGAATATTTTACAGATTTTCCAAAAAAATGTATTCCTTAATTCAATTAATTGCTTTATTCATTGAATACTTGCAGGCCAGGGGTTCTCATTCTCTTTTCCTCCCCGTAATACTTTTTTCCATCACCTACAGCTGCAGGGCTTGCCTCAGGAAGGCAACCCCAGGACTGTGTTGGTGTGTAGCATGTGGCCCTGCACACACAGCGGGAAATGTTAAACTGGATGCTACAGGAGAGATCTCTGAGCTTTATTCTGTGTTTTGATGTGTATTTCATAGATTTTATGTTCAAGTAGCACATCAGATTGCCCAAAACGCTATGTAAAGCCAACTCACTTAATGCTTTATGCTACCATCTGTCTTATAGCCTCAAAAAGAAAAACTTGAGGTTTGAATGTAAAAAAAGAAATCTAACAAAAAACAAGATGAGACTAAAACTTTGGTTATACTGCATAACAAGAAATTCACAGAAAGATGAGAGAACTGGTAGGAAAATCTGATCTAGCAACAAAAACAGAGAGAATTCAGAATTCTGAATCATTAAAAGCACTGTAATCCCACATTAAAAGCAACTGTTTATCTAACACTAGAGCTTTGACATGAGCAACAAACCCCTAACAATGAGCAGTTTACAATAGTCAGTGGTGTATTTCAACAAATGAAGTCCTGGCTGTTCACCTATTCTGTCACTGAGTTTTTACAATTTTGGACAATTCTAGTTCTACTGTTAAAATTATAAATAAACTCTGAGCTCTACAGCATTCTTTTCCATATCAATTGTTCAGGCAAGCTATAGCTCTTACTCATTCTAAAAACAAGGGGCAGAAGATAAGATTTTAATAGAAAGGTGTAGTGAAGCAACTTTCAAACAGGATCTATCAAAAATCACATCATATACATACAGTACTATCTGATAAGAACACTTAAGCAACTTACAGGCATCTGTAAGTTGACTTACAGATGCCTGACAGATCATGCATATACAAATACACAACCAGACACAAAACTGATTAAAGCAATTTCTCTAGATTTTTATTACTAACTTTTTGATTTCTATGGTGTTAGATGATTGGACACCAAAGTTACTATAAAAGCATCAAATACAATTGAATTAATATATTAAAAATATCAATCCCACATGCCATTTCTCAAGTGATCTAACTGTATTTTTAGTAAATGACTTCTACAATAACCCTTATAGCTAGGAGCCTAATACCTTCCAGTACAGTGAAATCCCAGAGGTAATGAACTTCTTGTCCCTTCCCTCTTGCTTCTGGATCTAACAGGGGAGGGGATTGCTTCTGTATTCATGTGCAAAATAAGTTATGTACTTGACACTTCAATCAATTCCCAAAGGTGCCATTTCATCCAAGGGATTAGACCACAGCCTTACACTGACTGAAGACAAAAAGCAGAAAGCAAGCGAAAAAAGCAGGCAAACATAGAAATAAGACTCCTTCTAGGGACTTCCTTAATAGAATAGATCATTTTAATGCTGTATATCAGATGAAAAAGAGGTAAGTTGTAACTGAGAAATTATCTTGCTATTTGATGTAGAGATGAAGGTTAAAAATGTTACAAAAAAAAGTTCAAGCATGAACAAAACACAGAGATGGAAACAGGGAACATGCAACTGAAGAAAAAAGATTTTTAAATTTTCACATTTCAAAAAAATTATCGCATGAAAGAACTATGACTGCTCTCATTTCATTATCATTTATGTAAATCCTAATCCACAATTAAAATTAAATGGATGATTAAATCATGGTTGTAGACAGTATGAAAACATAACAGGCCTACTCACATACATAAAGTTAAGTCCAGATACTGCATATATTCACATGCATAAAGAAGAGTAACCTAGCAGGACAAACTACAGCCTGAGAAAGCATTGGCTCCGAATATACACTATGGATTACCTTTACAATTCTGAAGAATAAATAGCAATAATGAACAGTAACAGTGCATCCGAATTTTGACACACGAGCGCAGACAGTATGAGTCATCATAACTCACTTTTTTTCCCCAGAAACATGCTACTTTTGACGTCGCTAACTCGTGCAGTATTAAAAATAGGTTTGGCTACTAAGGTGACAGATATAGTGTTAATTAAAGAAAAAAAAACAAAAGCAACTTAGCCTTTGTCCCTGACTCTAGCTCCCTTCCCGGACAAACTTTGCCGAGTTGTTATGCAGTTTAAATTGCCCCTACGAGTGAGCGGTGCCAAGCCTCCCGCCCGCCCCTCCCTCGACAGAGGTTAGTCGCGTTCTCTCCAGCGGAGCTGGTGACACTGGTAACACAAAAACGCAGTAACAAGCCCCGCACAATGCCACTGCCAGATAACTCGTCAAGAGGCCGCTCCCATCAAGTCTGGGTAACTGAGAGCAGTCTAGCACTCTCTTCTTAAAGACTTTAAACTTTTTTTCTTTTTTCTTTTTTTTTTCATAATTATGCCTTAGGAAGACATGGCAAGTTAAGTAACACTGAGGTTTTTTGAGAGGGAAGGAGAACAAAGCGAGCCCCCGGGCAACGAAAGCCACACGGCTGATGACCAAGCCTGCTTTGTCAAAGGAGGTGCAGCTGCAAACACCGGAGCACGTTAGTCCGGGCAGCAGAACAGGACACAAGGCAGGGCTCAGGCCTCCTCGGCACACACGGCCCCGCCACCCGCATCTCGCCCCCCCAAGAAGGCTCCGGCGCCAGCCCCACTTGGCGGCCCGAGCTCCCCCGGCTCCCCGCCGCACTCGGGGCAGGGCGGGCGCTCCCCTGGACTCACAAGGTGCCCCCGCCAGCCGCCCCTTAAACAACACCGCGGGGGCTCTCCGGCCTCACGGCCCCGGTCACACGGCCCTGGGACCCGCGGCCCTGTCCCGGCCCCGCCGCACTCGCACCGTACCCGAGAGAGCTCCGCCGCCAGCCCTGAGGGAAAGAGCGCGAGGCCGGGGCGGCCCAGGGGCGCGTCCCGCCCGGCAGAGCCCGGCTCAGCACAGGGAACAGCCGCTGCCGCATATCCCTGGCGGCCCCGCCGCCAGCACCGGCCTTTCCCCGCCGCCGCCGCCGCCCGGCCCGGCTCCGCTCGCCTCAGCACGCGCCGCTCCCCGGCGCCATGTTCTCCGCCCGCCTCCCTTCGCCGCCCGGCCAATCCCTCCCGGCGCCCGCGGGGTCCCGTCCGCCCTCCGCGCCCGGGCCTGGCGGGACCCGTACCTGGGGGTACCGGGAGCTGCCGCCTCTGCCGCCGGGAGGGCCGGGGCTGCGGCTGGGGAGGGGGCCGGGGGCCTCTGGGAGGAGGCGGAGGCGGTGGAGGGGGTGGGTGTCTGGGCGGGGAGCCGGGGCGACACTCGCCGCGGCGGGGGGGCCGCGCCCGGCGGAGGCAGACGGGGTTGCGGCGCGAAGGGCGGCGGGGCGGCCCCGGGCTGCACCCGCGGAGGGACCGTGTCGCGGCCCGCCCGCTTCCTGGTGGCCGCGCTCCGCGTCCCTGGCGGCGTCTGCCAAGACAAAAGGTAATTAGACGCCTCGTAATTTGAGCACAGTGGGTGCAGTGCCGTCCTGAGAGGCAGAGATTTCGGGTGTCAAAATCCTCCGTCCCCCAGGGAGAGGTCACCCTCCGGCAGCTCTCCCTTCTTCGGGCGCTCTCCTTGGAGCCCACTGGCCGCCGCTCACCTGCCGTGGAGCTCTGCGGCCCCGCTGCGCCGGACGCAGGACTCGCCTCGCAGGACGGGTGTACGAGGTGTAAATGCCGGATAAGGATGGACCTCTGTTATAATACCGTAGATTTGGGGTTCTAGGGAGAGTTTTTTTCCTTGGTAGATTTTCATAAGGGAAAATCGTGGATGTAGCTGGTTGCTTTAATTCCTTCCTAGGAAAAAAAACAAACCCCCAAATTAAAAAAAAAAAAAATCCAAAACAAACACCAGAAAAAAACCAAAAAACCAAAAAATACCACAAAACCAACCAACCAAAAAGTCTCCCCCCCGCCCGCCCCCCCCCCCAAAAAAAAAACAAAACAAAAAAAACACTGGTTGAAGTTCTGGTAATATGCTTTCTTCACATGTCTTATTTTTCTGTGTCTTATTTTTCAGAGTTATGAGGGGGAAAAGAAGACAAAAAAAAAAATCAAAAAGGCCTGATTTTAGCTTCTCCACTTCTTGCCTTCTATAAAAGGCTGTATCTCACAACTGGAAATTCACGGAATCCTCCTATCATAAAAATGTAGGAAGACTTGGCCAGACGAGTTACCTAAGGTAACTTAAATTGCATCTTTCTGTACCCAAAGATACAATTGAAAAGGTATCAGAAGTAACTTTAAACTAGTCAGCTTTGGTTAAAATTGCTGTTAAGAAGTAACAGCACACTGTTTCATATGGTCAGCGGAATCAAGCAGGAATCTACAAAATCTGTCAGGGAATTTGGGTAGACATTCATCTGCTGGTTTCCAGGGAGGTTTGTGCTGCTATAGGGATGCTGTTACCCCTACCTGAAGCTACTCCGTTTAAAACATTTGTGCCTACATCAAGTACGCCCACACTTCTGGCCTCAGTTTAGACACGGAACTGTCTCTCAAGTTAACTCATCCTGGTTGGAGCAAGGCATTTGGTAGTTTTCACCTCAATCAACTGTTTGGATTTAGAACTGTGTGGGTGCCTAATTTTAACACAGTATGTTAACTCCTGTGAAAATGTCCTCATGAGATTCTAGTTTGAGGCAGTCTGGGTTTTTTCCAGTCCCTAGTGCATGTAAAAGTGAAGACCAAGCTGGACAGAAAGAGGACAGGATAAATGGTGAGCTGTTAAATCTGAATTCCACCCTGTTGTTATTGCCAGTGCGTCAGAGAGGCTCATCCCATGGTGTCTGACAGAAGGACTGCAGGGTGAATGCCCCTTCACAATCTGTCTCCTCCCTTTCAGGATCAGCTGGGGGATTAAGAGGTTGTGAATTGGAGTCGTTCTGTTAAATTGAGTGTACAGTAGAAATAATTCTGCCTTTAGCTTTAACACAGTTGTCACGTAGGGGTGAACGCTATAGAATTATGCAGTTTCAGGCAACTTACTCTTTTTTGGGTCCTGACAGTGAGTTTGTTTGCCTAATGTAGTGTATATTTAGCCAATGCTGGCCTCATCTATATTTAGCTGCTCTAATAAATCCTGCCTTTTCCTGTAAATCTTGCCTGGTATATACAGGGGCAACCCTGGAGAGGCAAGGTAGACTGTGCCAGCAAAACTCTGGTGGTCGGCTAAAACGTGAATCTAAAACAAGCATTTCTGCTTCTGTGGTCTGATGAAAGATCACACCTCCTCATGCATCTAACATAGCTAGTGCAGCAGAGGTATGCAATAGAGGTCACGCCTACTGTACTTTACACCTATTTTATCCACTGTAAGCTTATTTAGCGGCTGTTCAAAGTCACTGGTGTGTCCTAGTTTAACCCCAGCCGGCACCTAAGGACCAGGCAGCCGTTTCCTCCCCTCCACCCATCCTGGTTTAATGGGGAGGAGAATCAAAAGTACTACTTGACGGTTGATATAGGAACAATTTAGTAACTGAAACAAAATAAATAGCATAATTATTGTTTTTGGTCTTGCCTTCTTCATCTGCCCTAGTTGAAAAATAGGTGTTGCCTAAAAGACCAAATGAGCCTAAGCATAATTTAGAGTAAGTGTGGAAATTATTCAAATACTCCCATGAGAAAAAACCTTATGAACTAGCAGTGTAGAGATCCCTCTTCAGGATATGTGACATCAATGTACAGTGAGGGAAAGTGATCTTCTAAGTAAAAAAATAATTTAGAATAAAACAGTATTTTATATATGGCCTGAAAGCTGAGAGACAGTAAGTGTGAAACTCTTAAGTACAATCTTGTTAGGCTTCTAATGGAAGCATGTCTTTTCCACATAGATAAAATTCTGGACTAAATTCAAATTGTAATTGTATATAATAGAGCTTTGTAGCAAACTGGCCTCGGACTGAAAAAAAAAAGCATAACTTACGATTGTTATTTCCACTCCAAAATAAATAGCAGCAGTTTCATGACAAGACATATATGAAAAAATTATTGTCCATTGGCTGTTCCCAGTACAAAAATAATGAATAAAATTAATAAAATGATTCAGTTAGAAGATAATGAGGCAAAAGAGACATTTCCTGTTGACTTCAGTCAGTGCTGTCAAGTCTGTGTTTCAAATTTTCCCATTCATTGTTTCTTTTCTTGCTATGTAAAGGATGTCATCCAGCTGCACGTCTTAACTGAAAATAGGTAACTATGGAAAATTACTGGCTTAACTCTGACCTAATCGCACAAATGCATACATCCCCCTATGTTACTCCTAACTTTTTATTACAGTGACTATAAAAAGATATAGAAGTGCTGCCGTCTGTGTTGGACAAGTGATCTGGCACACATGCCTAAAAAAAAAGGAACTGTTTTATTCTGTGTATTTTCTTGGTTAGTTGAAACCAGTTTTGGTTTTAATCCAGTTATAAGCATTGAATCCTGAATTTTTAACACTAAGGTAGTTATTTTATTGCATTTTCTCTGTTCTTTTAACAATGACATAGTTATCCTTTTACCTTGACTGAGGGGGAACCCTGTCCTCAGCTGAGAATATACCAGTACTCTCTGAGAGTAAGTCCTTGTTGTTTAACTTACTGTATGTGGACAATACAGAATTTAGAATATTACTGGCCAACTGATCAGGCTGTTCAAAGGCTAGAATTTGCTTTATGTTTATCTGAAGTGCAGGTGATTTCCCCTGTCATGTGAATATGCAATTAATCAGCAATTTTTTTACTATGTCACTGATAGTATTAAATATTAAACTCTCCACATGCTTAATACAGTTGATACATTGTGTACCATGTTGGCAATCAAATCAGGTGTTACTAAGCCTTGAAGAAGTCTCACCCAACCGTATAATTTGTATTATATCTCTCCATTATTATACCTTATATTACCTTTCTTCATTCATAGGTAATCATGTTCCATGTAAACAATTGTACTACTTTTCAAGCCTCCATACTTACAGTTCTCCAGGTGGTCTAATACAGGCCCTAGGAAAACAGTGTTTGTTTTGTCTGTGAATATCACTGTAATTCAGTGACTTTGCAAGCCTTAGTTTAAAATTGTCCTTCTTGATCCATATGTGGGGATGAATACCCTCTTCTGAAATTGCTACATTTGCTGTTGTGTATATTATCATATAAATTAGGTTTCTGTTTTTGTTTCCCTTTAGACAAAATAAAACATTAGTCACGGATGAAGTACCTGTCTTCTTAAAGGTCATTCTCCCAACGACTGTTAAGACTGTGGCCTAAATATTCTTGTTTCCTTTTCTCATATTTATTTTTATTGCTTGTGAAATGCTAGCTCCCTGTTACCCAGTTTGTGTTTATAGTATATTAGTATCATTAGACTATACCTAGTCTAAGAAAATGTACAACTTATGCTGAAAACTGACCTTGTAAAACAGACTTGCAGCCATTAAGCTGTATGTTTTTTTAAGCTAACTTGACTACCAGAAATACATATTTTCCACTTACCACAGCTATAGCAAAGGTAGCTATGGGCCAAATTTAACTTTCAGTAATCAATTTCTTACTGTTTTAATGCAGATTTGAATGATTTCTTCTGTGTCTGAGAGAAGTTATGTTTTGAGGAAAAATATGGCTTTCATACTAGAAAAGAAAAAACAAGCAGAAGTTGGAAGAATTCTTGTGTTTCAGTGCTGCCTTCTTTTGTGTGATCCATATGAAGGAGTATAGAGCAAAAGGTAAATATTTAGATTACTTGCATACCTGCATTTGACTTTTCAATCTAGTAGTAGCTACTACACAACTATCAGTACAAGTGATTTTTGCTGTAAGCATAGATGGCATACAAAAAAGCAAATAATGAAGGTGGTCTCAATATATTTGCTGTGGATTATATTTATTTTCCTTCTTGGTTAAGTCTTTACTTAGCTGGAATAAAATGTATTATTGTGATTTCTAGTGTTTATTGTTTGTTCTTTGCACGTAATGTAGGATTGATTGGTTCTGACGTTGTTCTAACTCTTCAGATAAGTGGTAGAGGAGCATAATGGGATATTGCTTCATATCACTGTCAGGAAAATTTCTGCAAGCCTTATGGGTTAGGATTCATTCGTTATTAGTTTTAAGAACTCATGGAGGAGAGAAGTATAATAAGATTCAAAGCAGCTAACTTTAGGGAAAAAAAAAAAGATTGAAGACACCTGCAAAATTATATAGATGGGCAATCTAAATTTCAGAAATTGTGAAGGCCCTAGAACAGGAACAAAGTACTGTAGTGCTGCAGGCCATAACAGGTAGATGACAGTCTATAGGAGCTGGTACAGATGTAACAAAAAAAGCACATCAGACAAGTTGAATCTCCTCTAACATCTGCTTCTTCCCTTCTACCCAGAAGACTTCTTATCCTGTTATAGATCTCCACCTAGCAAAGCATTTAATAGTGCCTCAGAGGAAGCTCTCACAGGGAAGCCAGGATGACATAAATGGCAAAGTGGTTATGATATAGTTTCAAAGGATGGATGTGATGCACCCATGGTGCTTTGTGCTGAGCCTGTAACTACTTATTTTTATTCTTACATAGGATTTCCCCACTACTCCATAAGGCAATACCAACCTGTAAACATGTGGAAAGTTAGGTGTGGAATTCAGACCGACATAGGTGAGCTGTGCTGGAGACCTGCCTGAGCAGAAGCATGCACAAGGCACAGAGGGAGCGGAGCAGAGCTCTGCAGCACGGCCGGAGGTGCGCAGCTGGGGCAGGGTCTGCCTGGCGAGCTGCACTGGGCACCTCCGGGGCCTGCTGGGAATGGGAGCGCCGTGCCCCACTGGGTAAATATGAACCCGGGCATTGTTTTAAACAGGGCAAGAAACGTTACAATCCCACAAGGCATTGGCAAGGTGTGCTTACTTGTTGTGATGTTTGAGGAAATCGTGGGCCAGCTGGAGAGCTAGGGGGGACAGAAGAACGGATGGCTAGAGGGCTTGACCCGCCCTAGGGCTAACCCTTGAGAAAGGGTTATATGGCTTATATCACTGTGGAAAATTGATGGCAGGCGAGGAGTTTGGCTGCCCTCAGACCCGGGAGTGTCAGCGGCAGCTGCTGAGAAGGCCAGACAGGTCCTGCTGGCCCCTGGCGGCGCAGACGAGCGGTCCGGCAGGCACGGGTGGCTGTCAGGCAGCGCGTTCAGCGGAGCGGCAGCCCAGGGGCTCGGGGGCGCGGCGCGGTCTCACCCGCCGCCTCACGCTGCCGCTGCCGCGCGCGCCGCCCCCCGGGTTTGAAATCCCGTCCCGTGGTGCCCCGGGGCCGCCGCTGATTGGCCGGGCCGGGCCGTGCGCGGTTCAAAGCGGCGTTGGCGGGGGCGCGCGCGGCTGAACCGAGTCCCGGCTCCGCGGTAGCGCTTCGGTCCCGTCCCCATCCCCATCCCGCCATGGCGGCTTTCGGCTCCCAGGGTGGCGGCACCAAGAAGGAGGAGAAGGGCAAGAACATCCAGGTGGTGGTGCGGTGCAGGTGAGCGCGGCGGCTTTTCTCTGGGAGAGCGTTGGGGGCCGGTCCATGGGCAAGCGCCGGGGCGGTCCTGCGTTGGTGCCTCCGGGACTCGGGTCCCGGCGCTCTCTGCTCGGTGCCCCGGACAGCCCGCGGGGCCGGCTGGCCGAGGCCGCCGCCGTGTGACCGGCGCTGTGCAGCGGTGGCTCTGCCGGGCCGCTGTGTCCGGCTGCGGATACCTGCTGTGGGGGATCGCTGCCAGGGAGCCGCCCCCGTACCCCTGGGCGGGCTCGGCACCGCGCTGCGAGCTGCCTGTCCGGGGCGCCGCTCTGCGGTTGGGCCGCCCCGTGTGCCTCGCGGGGAAGAGCGATTTTTTTATAACTTAAAAAGGCAAAAAGCTGCAGTTTCCGATCTTCATTTAGTGCACACCCAGTATGAAGCTGCGTTGGAAGCTCAGGAAGAGCTACGCAGTATGACATTTGAGACACACAAAAACCCAGTCTTTATTTTGCCCTTCTGTGCGCTCCTGTGGGAAGTCGCTAAGCTTTAACAGCTAAAATTGTTGCTACTCCCACTGTGGTATATCTGTCACATACCTTCATTGATGCAGGCTTTCCAGGGGACAAGTAATGGGATGGGAGTCTCCTACTGAAGTAAAAATGACCAGATGTCTTGGTTGATGAGATTAATTTGCTTTTTGGTATGAAGTGATAAATTTCATGTACCATAAAATTAGGTTCTCTTTGTAATTCTGAGGTGGCTTTAAAGAATTTCTTACTAATAGTAGATCTTAAATAATCTTAAAGCATTGTATGTTAAAACTGTGACATTGATAACGTATTATGTATAGTGTTTGAATCACCTATGGACGTTGGGTTTTTTTTGAGCTAGACCTACAAATAGTAGTTTACGTATTATGATTTAATGGTTTTTGCAGTCATCTTCTCAAGCTTGCAACTTCTGCTTTCACAGATGCCCAATTAATACAGAAATTAAAATCAATTTAGCCTTATCTTTGCAATGCAACTATAAAGCTTCTGAAACAAATGTGAGATTGGTAAAAGTGTTGATGTGAGTTAAGGCTATTGAAAGAGAATAAGTTTATTGAAGCAATTGAATTTTAAATACTGTCAAGAGCAGCTGTTTTCTTTTTATCTCTCTTAATTGTTCTGGAATAGCTTTATCAAGTATTAATATCTATTTTAACTAAATATAATGCTTACTATGAAAGTAGCATTAGAACTATTCATGGTGGAGTGTTCGCTTTTGTTGTAGCAGAGATTAGTTGCTATGTCAAGTGTTAGTTTCTTACCTTTTAAAAGTTCCTTGCCTAACCTTGCTCTTGCCCTTTGTAGAGCTTTTTTTTAATAGCTTCAGTTTATTTGAGCTAGTAAGTGTTTCTTCCACTTTTCTTTTTTTCTTCTGCATCAACTCAAATTTTCCTTATCTTACAGATGTGAAGGTAGATGCAGCTGTGTTCTTTGGTGTCCTGATTTGTTCTAAAAACCTGATTGGTCTGAGCATATAACAAATCTTTTCAAGCAGCATGTTTACTGAGCTTTGCTAAAACATGAATTTGTAAACTCAAAATGCATGCATTAGCATTGTTAATATGCATAATGTGCTTCATACCTGAGGAGATGAACCTAAGATCAAATGTCTCTATGGCACACCAGGCAGATGCTTGTGTAGTGGTGATGGTGATGATCTGTACTCCTGCTTCAGCCCAGCTCAATTGTTCCCCTAATATCACAGCTGGGGGCTCTTGCACCTCCTGCTATGGACTGGTTCAGTGTTTCATGGTTACACAGCAAATTATGTCCATTGCTCTGTTGGTTTCAAAGTCACGGGCCTGAAGCTGTAACTTGCTCCTTTGTACAAGATTTTAGTGATCTTCTGTTGTCATCAGTCAGTCTTGCACCCAGGTGTCCCATGGTCTGTTTAGAATATGACACTTCAGCCTCAGTGATGTATTGAGGGAGAAATGTTAGCCACAAGGTTCAGAAACCTTGAGCTGCCATGTGCTTGTGGTGTTCTTGTGTTTTGTTTTTTTCTCTAACATTATAATTGAAAGAGCATCTGAAGTGTGTCTCTACTGTTAAGGTATTTTAAAGAGTACAAGATTGTAGAAGTTATATTTTCAAGCTGACAGCTCATATCACCTATACAGGTAGCATAGGCATTCAGTGCAGTAGCACTACTGAATAAAGACTGAAATAGGATTTCTTGCTTTTTAGGGCATTTCCATGCATTTCAGGAGAAGTAGTGGCAAATGTCCTTTTAAGGAAAATGATGTGCACCAAATTAGAATTAACTTAGTGGTGAAACAAGATGCTCACCATAAAGTTAAAATTTATTGTCTCTTTTAAACCTTTTCACTCTATTTAACCTCTTACTATTACTTTTTGCTAATCCACTTTAAATTAATGTGGATCATTTCCCCCCCCCGCCCAATCTGATGTTTTTTTCTGTCTTATTAAATACTATTCAGGTGCATCAGTATTACAAAGGTTCTGGTATTGCTGCTTACTGTCCTGCAATTAGTAGGGTCTGTTGGTACTTTTCAAGCTTCAGAGTGTTGTGTCATCAGCATTTGATTCACTATTGCATTAACTTGCATATGACATAATAAGTGTGGGGTTTTTTTGAAGGCTCTTATTTAGGCAGTTGTTTGCTGTGTTTAACCTTCTGCTCCTTGCAATTGAGCATCTTCTGATGCCTGTTAACTGTGTGTGCATGTATATGATCTTGAAAGTGGTTATAAGCCTGTTAAAAATATGTATGTAACAAACAAAAAGCTATGGATGCCTGAGCTGTCTCACAGTGGAAAAAAGGAGAAACAGGGTCTGCAAACTGCCAAATTGCAGCATTTTTTCTTAAACGATTATTAAACAGATTAAGTTAAAATCTTTGTTCTACTATTCTAAATCCTTAAACTGAGCGACATTGCTGCTTCATCTATTTGTGCTCTTGTTAGCAATGATTTCAATCCTATATTTCTGACTCCTGTCCTTTTAGGCCTTTTAATGCCTCTGAGCTTAAAGTGAGCTCCTACGCTGTTGTAGACTGTGATCAAGCAAGAAAGGAAGTCAGTGTCCGCACTGGAGGAATGACAGATAAGTCATCAAGAAAGACGTACACATTTGATATGGTTAGTAACTGCTTGTCCAGTTGAGGACTTCTAGAAACAAACTAGTGCTTAGTGTGATGTTATGCATTATTGTGTGGATAAATGGGATGCCTTGTCTTTGTGTCAATAGGTTTTTGGAGCACAGGCAAAGCAGATTGATGTATACCGGAGTGTTGTGTGTCCCATTTTGGATGAAGTTATTATGGGCTACAACTGTACAGTGTTTGCGTAAGTAAGCCAATAATTAGTATTAGGAAATTTTTTTTGTATTTTAGTTTCTTGTTTACATTTTTATTTTTATTCTCACAGTTATGGCCAAACTGGTACTGGTAAGACCTTCACAATGGAAGGGGAGCGGTCACCCAATGAAGAATATACTTGGGAAGAGGTATATTATCACTTCTGAGAATTCTCTTGTCTGTACTGTAGTTCAAAGTTGGAAACTCAGAAGGCTAAAGAAAACCAAAAGTTGATGCCTTTCAAATTCTGAAGCTGACTTTCCTTAAATTTTTGTAGATGAGCAAGTCATTTCCTTCATTTATATGAAAAGGACAATTTAACATCTTTAATGTATTGCGTTCAACTCTTGGTGACGTTTATATGGAAGGTCATCTTTATTGTTTATGTCCAGTCAGACTGTTTAGTTGAAACTCTGCCCCCTAGCTTCAAATCTTTTGGTACATTTATAAATGAAATATTTTTTTAATTTATAGGATCCCCTAGCAGGTATCATACCCCGTACATTGCATCAAATATTTGAAAAACTCACAGAGAATGGTACCGAATTTTCAGTGAAAGTCTCTCTTTTGGAAATCTATAATGAGGAGCTTTTTGATCTTCTGAATCCTACTCCTGATGTTGGAGAAAGACTGCAGATGTTTGATGATCCTCGAAACAAGGTTAGTGTTACAAATTTGTTGTCTTGAGGCGTTCAGGATTGTTGAGAGATGTATAATAAGCATGTATTAATTTCTGACAGAGGGGTGTAATTATTAAAGGCTTGGAAGAAGTAACTGTACACAACAAAAATCAAGTTTACCAAATCCTGGAAAGGGGTGCAGCCAAAAGAACAACTGCAGCTACTTACATGAATGCATATTCCAGGTAAAAATCTTCCCCATTTCAGAAACCTTATTTTGTTCTTTCTTAAACAGAATCTTACTGAAGAAGCAAGCAGCTAGTGCAAACATGACATCATGTCTGTCACAGTGCAGACTGTCAAACATGGGCTAGAAAGCCAGAGTTGTGATTTCTTCCTTACCATGTTCTGTGGGGTGATTGCAGTAGGCGTAGGAAGGGGTGTCATGGTGTAACCCCAGCCAGCTTCTGTAAAATTTGCAAACTAGGTTGTGGAAGTTGGGGATAAGATTCTATGGCAATAAGGGCTGCTTCATATGGTTGCAGGTCATAGAATGTCATAGGGGCACCTGAGTCAGAAATAGCATTATTTTTATTACTGCTTTCACATTCTCAAGCTGCAGATGTGAGATCTGTATCACTGTGACCAAGTCGTGATCCAGTGCTGCAATAGTAAGGAATGTATCCTGTCTGTATTGTATTTTAATTTCATGATATACTGAGCGTGTCTGTCTACTGGTGGAAGGAAATGGGTATTTTCTACCACTGATTAGGACACAGAACTCATTTTGTCTGAGATTGCAGGGAATTTTGAGACACTATTGTGCCTGAGGTGTTTCATGTAATTTGACATCTATGGCTTTCTATATATGGTAGCTTCCTATAGTAAAAACTTATTAAAGGAATAAACTCAACCTAAAATCATCTTTACTATGAGAGTGGTGAAATACTGGAACATGTTGCCTAGAGTAATTGTGAGGGCTCCATCCCTAGGAGTGTCCAAGGCCATGTTGGATGGAGCTTTGAGCAGCTTGGTCTAGTGGAAGATGTCTTTGTCCGTGGTAGGGGAGTGGAGCTAGATGAAACCATTCCATGATTCTGTGATCTTTAACTGTATTACTATTTTTGATTGAAAAGTTAATTGAACTTCTACATTTTTAATATTGGATTCAGCTAATTGCTGAATTTTCTTAGCTTGCATAAAGAAAGTTATGTTCCTTAATCTCACATTCTGTGAAACTGTTCGTAGGTAAGGACTGAAAAAAAAATCTGCAAGTAAGTTTTCATGTGATGTTTGTGAGTTGAGAATACTCAAATGTAAGCAAAACCAAGGCATTTCTCTTGCTTTTCCTTGAAATAAGAGAAAATCTATAGGATTGGATGAGTCAAATGTCAACCAGTTGCTTCATCGCTGGTTTTAAATAGATATTCGTATATTCACACACAAAATTATACTTAGCAGAATAACTTTGTGTATTGAAAATGTAACTTGTAGCTCACAGGCTAAAGGTATTCTCTAAAGAGCAGAGAACTTGCAGCAGTCATATAACAACTAGATATTTGGCTTTAATGGAACATCTGAAACTGGTTTCTTTTGCAGCCGTTCCCACTCTGTGTTTTCAATTACCATCCATATGAAAGAAACAACGGTGGATGGAGAAGAACTTGTTAAAATTGGAAAGCTAAACTTGGTAAGTATTTGAACTAAGTGTCATTGATAGAATTTTTGCCATGTACTAGATTTTATTAGAGTTTTTTCCTGATAAGGGGGAAAATTATTGTTCTCATAAAGTGATATGAAGTATGTTTGTCACTCTGAAAAACCTCAGTCCCATTTGTCACCCCAGTGTCTCCTGAAAAACTGGTAATCTCTTTCATGTGTTCTGCAAGACTTTGGGGCAAGCATTCTTCAGGGTGATTGAGACAGAAGTATAACTTGCATTTCAGGTTGATCTTGCAGGAAGTGAAAACATTGGTCGATCTGGGGCTGTTGACAAAAGAGCTCGTGAAGCTGGAAATATCAACCAATCTCTGCTGACACTAGGAAGAGTTATTACTGCTCTAGTGGAAAGGGCCCCTCATATTCCATACAGGGAATCTAAACTCACAAGAATTCTTCAAGACTCTCTTGGAGGACGGACAAAAACATCAATAATTGCTACAATTTCGCCTGCATCTATAAATCTTGAGGTAAATTTAAAGTCTGAAAACCTATTCCTCAAATAAGTAGTATATTTTGCTAATGATAGAAAAATATGAGTTAATTCCTCAGCTTGACCTAGTGTTACATCTGTTTTTACAGGAAACATTGAGTACACTGGAATATGCCCATAGAGCAAAGAATATCATGAACAAGCCTGAAGTTAATCAGAAGCTAACAAAAAAAGCTCTTATTAAGGTAACTAGACATATATCTTAAAAATTGAAGTTACAGGTTAGGCATGACTTCTTGTTAATGTAGCCTTTGCTGTGCACGAGTATGAGTATGGGAGAAGCTGTAACACAGAAAGCAGTGCTTTTCTGAAGTGATTTTAATTACTGAATTGATGCTTTTAAACTAGAGTTGCACTGATATAGCAATGGTCCCTGCAGATACTGGAACTGTTAATAAAACTAAAGTTGAACAGAGGGCTAATGCTATTAGCTATGACTGTGGGTATTACATGTTTGCATTTTGCACTTTCTCTAGAAAGTGCCTTAATTAAAGGGAACTTGTCAGTAAGTACAGGAGAAGAGCCAATATAAAGTAGTTCTGCCCCTAAGGAAGCTGTGATTCCCATTGTAAGCTGCTAAATTCAACCAAGTATGACCTTCAAATGAAAGGTTTCAATGCTTTACATATAGCCAATATATTATCCAGTGATACGAATTTAAATGGTGCTATACTGAACTTAGAACAGAGATGAAGTGCTTTGCTCTTGTGCTTATGCAAGACTTCTGTAGAGCACTACCATTGTGAAGTATCTGTTAAGCTGAATATCAAAACCAAAATGAAAATATTCATGTTTACATGTTTCTTTATGCAGGAATACACTGAAGAGATTGAGCGTCTGAAGCGAGACCTTGCTGCTGCTCGAGAAAAAAATGGAATCTATATTTCTGTTGAAAACTATGAGTATGTCTGCAAAATTTCTCTAAAATAATTAGCAACAAATCTCAGATACTGGTACCTGTCCTTGTACAGAAATACTTTCAGATGTATTTTTAATCCAGGAAGTTAAGGATATTTAGGAAAACTTAAATGTTTGGTCAACTTGTTCTTTCAAAATTAATGATTATATAGATATAAATCTAATAGGCTTGCACTGAGGAATTTATGTATGTGGAACTTACCATAACCATTAGCCAGCATGCAGATTTACACCTGCAGCCTTTTTTTTTTTTTTTTTTTCTTCACTTTTTTAAAAGGGCTAGTTTGCACAGAAAGTTTACAATGGAAAATTGTCTTTAAGCTTCTCTGCCTTAAGTGAAAATTACTTGCTATTCATATAAGCATTTTCTGAAATTACTGAAAACGTAGAGTAAATCTTGAAACTACCTCTTGACTAATTTATTTGTTTGTTTTAATCCTTGCTTGAGAGCCCTTAATGGAAAGCTGACTGTTCAGGAAGAACAAATTACAGAGTATATTGACAAAATCAGTGTCATGGAAGAAGAAATGAAAAAGGTAAGTGATGTTTCTCAAGTGTGGCTTAAATCTGCCAAAAAATTGAAGAAATTCATTCTTCCTGTCAAAAGGAAAAAAGTTTGAAGAAAGAACAGTCAGAAGATCGTTGTTGTTGGTCTTAAAGTTCCACAATTAGTCAAGCATGGAAGCTTCCTAGTTCTTGAAGTTAGGAATTTGAGATAATGTATATGAAATTGCAGGTTGCAGTACTTACTTTTAAAGCGTTTTCATGTCTACTAACATAATTTTCTTTGCTGAATTTTCAGCAAAAAATCTGCTTGTAAAATGGTATCATCTCAGTTGACATGAATCTATCTGCTTAGGAAGTAAAAATGAGGGTTGAGAGGTCATGAGCTTCCTTTTAACAAATTACACAAAAATTGGAGCGCCTTTTTTAAGAGAAATGTAGATATTAATTTGCTGGTATATGTAACTCCTCTATGTAATCAGCTTTACTGGCTCTTCTCAGTCTGTTTTTGTGTGTTCAGTGGGATTCTTTTTCTTGTGCTGTAATGGCAGTTTCTTCTTATATTTTGAGAGAGGAAGCAAGTGATTATTACAGCGAGAATGGTGTTGGCTTGATATTTTCAGTGATTACAAAGACTCTACAAAGCTGTAGTTTAGGTTTAAAACCTGAGTCCTACAGTTAAATTACATTGCTAGATGACAATTTGCCTTCTGTCATTGTCATGTAATTTGAGAGATGCGAAATGATACTCTCACATTTATAAAAAGTGGTGTTGCCTTTTTGATTATTGTCTTCCTGTTTAGGTCGCTGAACTATTCAGAGTCAGTAAAAATGAACTTGAACAGTGTAAAACAGATTTGCAGATAAAGGAGAAAGAATTGGAAGAAACACAAAAAGATCTGCAAGAAACCAAGGTTCAGCTGGCTGAAGAGGAATATGTGGTTTCAGTTTTGGAAAATACTGAACGAAAGCTTCATGGCACAGCTATCAAGGTTGTCACAGTTCTTATACCTACTGTAAACCAGCTTCTTATTTTTGGAAGTTTCATGGGCTATTGAAGAAAACCAATTGTTGCTAAAGCATGATGTAAGACAAGACCTGAATTTAAGATGGAAAACTAGGGACTTGCAGGACTTTCTCTGTGGTAGTATTGACAGTTGACTGCTAAACACTCTGGTTCATCTGGAACAAACTTTGCCTCAGGCCAGTTTGTCATGGGAGTTCTAGTGCTTTGCAATATCTATTATTGTGAGTTTTTTTGCAGAATAAGTAGTTTTCTTTCAAAATCTTATGACCAGTCCTGCAAAACAGTAAGTTATACATACGTGAAGGACTTGGTCTAGTGGAACGTGTCCCTGCCCGTGGTAGGAGGCTTAGAACTAAATGATCTTTGATGTGCCTGCCAACCCAAACCATTCTATGAAGTGGGGTAGGAAAATAGCAAAAAGATTTTAATAATGTTGTCGTGTCACCTCTGTGTTTTGATGGCTTTGATGTGTTTGTTGGTTAGTTGTAATTATCAAAACAGACTTGAAGTAGGGAGAGAGAGTGTGTCCTGCTATTTAAACTGCAAAGTGATGAAAATTGTATCTTGAGGCACCGTGACAATTTATTGCTGTTGGTATTTCTGTAAGATTAGGAGGGAATGCCTGGTTTTTACATGTGGGTTGTGGAGTGTTTGAGACAAATAGGTACAGAAATTACTTATGCTCAGTACAAACCAGGACTCCACTATTTGTATGAATTCTAAATTATTTATCACAGGGCTAGTGATAAAAATAAAAAATAATTATAATATAATAATAAAAACCTCTTGCTTTAGTAATATATTAAAGAATATATTTACTGTCAGATTGTTCAGAAAAAAGTTGAAGTGCTCAGGTATTTTTCAGTTACTGTTCTAGGATAAATGATACCTTTATTCCTTAAATACTGAGTAAGTAATTTATTAATGGTTTGATTTTAAAGCAGAACAAATGGTCTGTAGTAAGTAACTTTTTCCCATGTTCTAAAAGCATAAATAACATAACACCAGAGTCCAGAACAGGTGTACTTTGATGACATAAAGGGAAATACCTGTCTTTCTTGAGAAATAACGTCTTTAACTCAGAATTGTTGTTGCTTTTCTTTATATAATATGTGCTGGACTTCTTGTTTAAAGACTTACTGAAATAACTTCAATAATTATAGTTACTAAGTACAGTTGAAGAAAGTACAAGAGATGTGTATGGGCTCCATGCGAAACTGGACCGTAAGAAGGCTGTTGATCAGCACAATGCTGTTGTCCAAAATACATTTGCAGGACAAATGAATGCTTCGTTCAGCAAAATACAAGATGCAATTACTGAAAACAGTTTGAAGCAGCAACAGATGTTGACATATTACACAAATTTTATTGGTAAGTATAATACTTGTATTAATAGTTATCCTGTAGTAATCTCAAAGACCACATCCTAAAATGTATCTATTTTAGGAAAGATGTGGTTTTATTTAAGTGATGTAATGATTACAGTTGCACCAGTAAAAATGTGTCTAGGATGATCCACAGCCTTCCTGTAAGGGGCAATAAGGTGATGAGAAATAAAAAGAGCTCCTATCTTCCAGGGGAATTTTTTAAAAATTTGTAACTCTGTATTTCTTCTGTAGGTGACCTCCTGTCTACCAGTTCTTCTACGGCAGATATTCTTGCATCAGTTGTATCAGCATCTTTTGCCTCTCTTAAAGAATTGGTGTCTACTGAAGTTTCTCACATGTCTGAAAAAGTAACACAGCATGAGAATCTATCACTTGATTGTAAAGCGGAGCTGCTGAGATTAATTGTTAGTACATTTGCATACTCCTACTTAAATATTTGAAACTGGTTTTGATCAAAAGGGGTTCTGTAAATGTATAGCATTTTTTGATGATCGTTACCTGTATCTGCTTCACCACCTGACCATGATTGTCCCTCCCATGTCACCCCTACAAGCTGTAATGTACTAAGTAGCATATACTACCATAATAGAGCATATGGATATGTACACAGTAACTTCTTACAAATGTAGGAATGAAATGAAGAAACAGCCATGTTCTAGTTTAAATTTTTTTCTCTTCCTAGAAGGAGCATGAAACTGGGTTAGGAAGAGCAGTAAATAGCTTGGCACCAGTGGTAGAATTTGTCTTGGGGTTAAACTGTCAGTTCCAGAGTAACATGAAGAAATATTCTGCTGTGGCTGACCAGGTAATGCACATAACCTGCCTTTACCTTCTGCTCTTCTATTTTTATTTAATTTGCAGATAATATGCTCTTTGTTTTTCTGCAGTATGTCAGAGCGTTTCCACCTCTTGTCTCGCCTTTTCCCCTTTATCTTGTCCCACGAGTTCTGTCTTTTAACTTTCTTTCAGACTTTTCTCCTTTCCTGAGTGTGGTAAATTTGCTTCTTCTCTGTATTGGCACAACTGCTTGCCTAAGTGCCACAGTAGAATGGTAAAACATGGATGTTTAAATCTTAATGTAACAAATATTTGATGATACATTTAATATACTCTCCCCTTGTATTTTAGAAATCTGAAAAAAAGTCAACTTAGGCAAGTCTTACCACTCCAAAAACTTTCTGCCTTCATACCAATTTTTTCTCCATAGTCCCTTTGATTCCTGGGGAATGTGATGCTTTATCTTGTTAACAACCATAAGGGCAAATAATACTGCACTTACTGAAGTCCTTTGCTTCAAGCTAGAGTTCTAGTCTATCTCATGATACTTGTGTAGAACTGTGGCCTCTTTTTTTCCCCCCCTTTTTTGTCAAAAACAAGTATTGGTTTCTGGTGACCTGTTTCTTTTACTGAAACATTTTCCCCTCCTGTCAATTATAGCTCATGAGAAATCAACTCCCCTTGTCTGGAAGCTTTTTGTTGGTTTTCAGACTTAGACAACAGATAGTCCATGGCTTATGACCTCTTGCTGTTCCTTGTTTACTTTTGTTTTGTTTACCTTGAATGTCAAATTTTGTGTTTGGAATAGCCCCCACACTAAGTTCCAGTCTCAAACTTTAGATTGTTCCCAATGTGACTTTCTGCCTTTCATGCACAATGCTTTATTAATGCCTTTTGACAATTTCCTTTTGAAAATTGGGGTAGAGTTGTTTCTATGTCAGTTACACTATGGAAAAATATCAGTTTCTTAAGATACAAAAGTATAACTAAGTAAAACAAGTAAAACTTTTTTTTTTTTTTTTAAGATGGAGTGCCATAAAAAGGAAATGGATACCTTCTTTGAAGATCTTTTTCTCACTCTGAAAACAATACAGGAACAAACAGCCAGTGGCTTTGCTCAGCTCCAGCATAATTGTGACAGTTTAAAAGAAGAAGTGGAAATGATGAGGTTGGCACATAGAAAGGTATCCTTAGAGTAAGAAAACATCCTAATGCCAAGTGTGATTGCTTGCTTTGATTTAAACTCTTATGTGGTAGTAAACCATTGTACTTGCTTCAGAAAAAATGTTAGGAGGACTTGCTCCTAATTCTATTTAGCTTTTGTTAGGCTGCTTTAAGTAGTTTATGTAGGAATGTAGCAAAAACCCCTTTCCCCTTGCTGTATATCCAGTACATGTGCATCTACATATGTCTCCAAAAGCAAAGAGTTTGTATCTTCACGACTCAAAAATTGTACCTTCTGTTTTAGAATTGCAGAACTCTGCATTTTATGCATTTTTAATTCAGGCATTCGGGTACCCTTTAAGACTGTTAAAAAGTGCAGAATAACAGTGAAACTTGTGATAATTTTCTTGATAGAGTGCAGCTGAATTGATGTCTTCACTGCAAAGCCAGCTTGACCTTTTTGCTCAGGAGACTCAGAAAAGCTTAACTGATGTACTCACCAGAAATGGAAGCCTGAAGACCACCATCACTGCTGTGCAAGAAAATGTTCACCTGTAAGGAGCAGTTTCTTTTTGCTGTACACTTACTCAAGATAAATTATATATGAAGAGAACTTTGAAATTGGATGGTCTCCATATTTATGTGCTTATAAAGCCTGCTGGGTATGGCCTGTATGTTAGAGCTGGGTTCTGCCAAAGAATGTAGATCATAGTTGGCCTTTCCCCAGAGTAAACAGTAGTTCTCAAAGGCTTGCCCTTGAACTTGTCTCCTGAGCATGTTGTGATAAGAAAGTATCATTTTGGGAGCAATATGCTAAGGAGTGTCCCTCATTGTCTGGATTTCAGAACATATTATAAAGGTTTAGCTTGAAGCATAATAATGTATCTGTTGCAATATGTTTCATTCAATTGCAGACAATAACTAAGGTCTTGCTGAAGTTGATTTTAGTTTGTGGTTAGGGTCTTTTTGTTCTCTTTTGGGTTTTCTTGATTGGTGGGGTGGTTTTTTTTGGTTTTTTTTTCAAACCTACTGCTGCAAGTGCTGCGAATATACTAAGTACATCAACAATATTGTAATTAACTGCTTTGATAGAACTGTGCTATTTCACTGGCTCTGGTTTCATATTTCTAAAAGTATACTGTGTTAAAATCTACCTTTCAGAATTTCTAAACTCTTAAAAATATGTTGTTGCAGGAAAACTACAGACTTAGTCAGCAGTACAAATGCCAATCATGGCAAATTTACTGCATCTCTGGATAATTTCTCTCAAGAGCTCAGGAGCATAAATGCTGAAAACAAGACAATGCTGGAAGAATCCAACGACCACTGCCAACATCTTCTCAGCAATCTCAAAAATGTGTCTCAGCAAACCAGTACATGGGGTGAATTTACAACTGCTCAGATGGTCAACTTTACTAATCAGCAACTGTTGTCATTCAGTGATGAGAAACAACAATTTGAGTATTTACAAAAGGTACTTACTGTCATTTCTAGTCTAATGCAACATCCTAAGACAAAGACATCCAAGTACTGTCCTTGGGAGATGCACAGTGATCAAATGCAGGCTATTTTCTGGAGGATGCAAATGACTTTATTGGTCATATTGAATCAATATGGGAGAAAGTATTCCTTTTAAGTGTATACAAATTCTGGCCTCATATCTAAGTTTCTCTCATGTTTTGGGTTTTTTTTTAATTTCCATCACAAATTCCACATCCACCCTGGTTTTGTTGTAATAGACTATAAAATAGGCAAATCCAATATTCTGTGAGCTTTCAGAAGGAAAAATTCATCTAGAAACTGCCTTCACACAGAATATTCTAAGTTGGAAGGGATCTCCAAGGATCAAGTCCAACAAGAAGTGTTTGTAGTCTCAAGACGTCTCTTTATCTGTTGTACCTGCTGAGCACTGCAGGAGCTTCATTTCAACGGGAATGGCTGAAAACACAATTTCCTTTTCCCCTACAAGTGCACAAAGGTGTTCTAGTGCTTGCAGGATTTTCATGTTTAGGTGAATATTCTAATTCTGTGCAGGGTTTGTGCATAGAAGCATGAGGAGTCTGGTCTGAGCTAGATGGCATCATCTTTATTCTTGTGACTAGCTTTCTAAAGTGATCATACTTTCTAAGAAACTGACTCTCTTCTGAAGATAGCTCTCAAAATGAGAGTGTAAAACTGGCACTGAAACTTCTCAATTTGAGGTCTCAGTTGTTTCGTTTCAGGTCATGTTGTTAATCATGCACCACATCTTAGAAAAGAGGCCATAGTCTTACCTTTCCTGTTAATTTGGTGTTTTTTAGTTAAGTTGTTTTTTTGTTTCATTTTCAGAAAAATGAAGAGAACTGCGATAAAGCAATAGCTGAAATTGCTGACCACATTGGCAGACAAAAGGCTGCTGAGGGGAAAGTGCTAAATGGCCTTCTGGGTCAGATAAAGGTGGATCAGGAGATACTTGTGGAGCAGAAGCTGGCACTTCAGGAAGAAGTACAGCGTGGACTAACTCAGGTTGATGGTTTCCTGCAAGAGGATCTCAAAGTGGATGTTCCAACAGGTATTTAATCATGGGGCAGAATGGTCTTACAAAAAACAACTTGAGTTCCAGAATTCATAAGTGAAAGTTAATGGGGACATAACCTGGCAGCCTTACACCTTTTTTAACATGTATCCAAAGAATGGTGTATAAACAAAGCATGATTTCTGTAAAGAGTTGATGTAAAATTGAGCATCTGAAATTAAAGCAAATACTGAAAAGTGTATCATCTTCATTAAAGGGACAACTCCACAGAGAAAAGACTACTTCTATCCTGTCACACTTGTGAGAACAGAACCCCGGGAACTACTTCTGGAGCAACTAAGGCAAAAGCAATCAAATCTTGATGCTATGCTAAGCAGTGTGGTAAAGGAGACGGAGGATAATGCAGGTCAGGTATGTATGTAAATGGCAAATGAGGCTCTTGAATGAATATTTCACATCTTTGAGGTTTTTCCCTTTTGGAGAGTTGACTATACCCCCAGGGCTGTTGTAGCCTTTGTGTTTTACAGTGTACTTGGACTCAAGTGTGCTGAGCTTTTGAAAAAAGCAATCTCTTGAACAATAAGCCATGATTTTAATTATTGATTCTAATAATTTTGATTTCATTCTTGTTTTTCAAAAATAGAAGTTCTGTGTCTTTTATAAATCAGATAATGCTTAATACATTCATTGAGGAAATTCAGACATTAAATACATCTTTTTGGAAAACTTCTGTTTTAGGATGTGCTGGAAGAGGAAGGAGAGTTGCGAGAACCCAGTGAAAGCCTTGTTTGTGACAAATACTTAATGGATACAAATGTATATTGCCACACAAATGGTGGCATTCCTTTTTTCCAGGTAACTTCCCCAGATAAGCAAAACAGCTGTGTATTTGATAAGAAATGTTACTGTTCCATAACAGTGCTGTTGTTTCAAGTCACTTCTTACATTTTAGGTTAGTCACACAACTTGTTCAAATCCTGTAGATAATGCTTTGTTAACCTTGTGCTGAAGTAGCAGCAGATTCTGATAGCAGTTAATAGTGGATAAAATAATGCTGATTTCTGACTAGCTGGGCAGACAGTTGAAAACTACTCAGCAAATAATCCTCCATAAAGAAAATTGTCATAATTTGCTAGACATGTGTTAATGGAAGAGTTGAAAGTACACGGAATATTTTCTTAGAGGTCTGGCAGAAATATTTGCATTCTTAAGTCTTCATGGGGTTGGCTTTTTTTACATACTTGATTCTGACCCTTTTGCTATACCAATATATCAGTGTAAACTTCTTGGTATGCTCTCCCCAGCAAAAAAAAAGACCCTAGAATAATATATTTTTTTGTTGTGGACCCTTTAAAAATAGCTGCTGAGCCATCTGTGTGTCTACAATCAATCTTTTGAGTAAATGCAATGTATTAGGAACCTTTTTCAGGAGTTACGTCAATTTTTTTTTCTCAGAACACTATGTACTGCATTGCACATGAGCCAGAAGTGTTTGATTTCTTTGTATTCTCTTAACATTGGGTATTTTTTTTTAAATCCCAGCACAAAAGAAGTCTCAAAAAGGGTAAAGAGAACAAATCTGCAGCTCCAGTGGAGAACAAAATGGAGGATATGACAGAAGAGTTTCTTCAGAAATCTAAGCATCCTTTAAGATTGCTGAACTAAGATATATCCTCTGCTGATCCCTGTTTTTAGATATTTCTATCTTACTGTCTTACTGAGCCACAACTTTTTTTTGGTATTCTCAGTGTCTCTATGTAGTGATACAGTGATGCAAAATTGAATCAAAATATTTGCTTACTCAATCTCATGCCTTGGTTCTATTTTTATATGTTGCAGCTTGTGAAGTTTTAAGGAAAAAACCCTGCAGGTTATGGTGCTGTTGTGTTAAAAATATATATATATATATGTGGTCAAGTAAGAAATTTTCTGTTTCTCAGTAGATCTAAAATACCAGAAAGGGATGTGGAAATATGCTTTGTCAGCATTCAGTTACCATTTTATGTATTCATTAGCTGTAAATAAGTGTTCTGGTTTTATACCTGCTTTTTATTCCCGTTTCTGTTTTCGCTGTGATAATTCAAATAAATTAATACATGGAAAACAAATGTACAAGCACCTCACTCAGAGTAAAAACTTACCTCATTTTCTTATGGTGTGAGGTCTAATTTAACTAAAACATCATCAGCTATGTCATCAGTCTTGTGTTGTCAGAAGAGGATGGTTCTCTCCCTTGTTTCACAAAAGACAATAGCTTTATTTCAGTGCCTCTTCATTTTGTGAAGTCTTACTGCTGGGTCTTGGGCTTTTTGTTTGTCTGAACCCCACTGTTCTTCCTTTTAACTTGCAGATGCAAATTCTGGCACCTAAAACTTAATGGGCTTAATTCTCCCGTTTCTAGGTTCCATTTTCTTGCACTATATGCCTGTTAACTCTGACTAGATATTAGCATAATCTTCCACAATGGTTCCAGAAATCCTTTATTAACTAAAAATCAGCCCTAGAAGTTGACCCCACAGCTGTATTGAATAGCCTAAGCCATGTGGGAGAGGCTTGCACTAGCCTTTTGCCCTGCTACCTTTTCCCCGTGGAGTTGATAGGATTAGTATGAACAATTAAACTGCAATGGCCAGTAACAGCAGGCTTTTCCACAAAATTGTGCCATATTTTGTGTTCCCTGCCTTTATCCTCTTTGAAACTCTCTGCCTTGACTGTTTGGTTCCTGCTGCATGGGGACAGCCTGCTTTCCTCAATAGCTGTATTAATTTCAGGGGCTGCTTCATGCTTTCTCTAAAGTAGCCCTCAAAGTCATGTTGTCCTTTGTTTGCAATGCTGCCATTGTTCTGTTGGCCCAGGTATCTGGAGGCCACGCCAAAGCTGTATAGGGTGAAAAATCCGGGTGCAGAACATGTCCTGGCCTCCCTGTCCATGTCTCCTCTCCCACTAGGTGGCCCTAACACTGAAGGTTGGTCTGAGCTCAGGTACTGACTGCTAAACAAGACTTGGACATACGGGTTTTGCCATGCTTTTCCTCGAGCATCTGTCAAAAAAAAATTCAAAATCTAATACTGAACTTATGCTTCCATATGGAGAATTCTATACTTAAGCTTCAGTAGGGGGTTGCTTTATGAGGAGCTACATTTATGTAGAAGATGATCTAGTGCATGTCTGCATTACTGTAGGGCTGCTAGACCCTCTTGGTAACCAAATCATTGTCCTGGCCTGCTCTGTTTCCCACCACATGGGCATTGCCCAAAGCAGAAAGCAGCACTAATTTGTTTTGGGGTGTTGTATGATAAGGAGGAAAAAAGGGAAAGAAAAACAAAGCAACAGTTGTTTCTTGTGCACTCCCTGTATCACATATTACAGATGAAATGGCACAATCCAGACTACCTTATTGGTGTTTTGATTTTATCCTTTGTACAAGAAGGGTACAAAGCCATTTCTACAGAATAATTAGCCAGGTCACACCCACACTGACTCAAGCCGACTGACCATGAGGGAGAGTTGTGATTGGGGCTGTAGTGTATGGCCATGTTCTAATTAATCTGATGAGTACTGTTTGGATTCTGGATTCACGGTTAAGTAAGACAGCTCTTGATTTAACAACAAACTTAGATACAATGTGGGGAAGTGAAATAAATTAAAAATAAGTTTAAATGCATGTGAAGGGTGAAATGCAGGCAACTGTGACAGGACCACAAGAAGCACAGGCAATGGAGAATCACCCCAGCTTCCTCTTCAAGTGAAAAATGAGCAGCTGGGAGGAAAGCAAAGAAGGGAAACTTCCTGCTTCCTCCTGGAAATCAGGGAGCTGCAGCATTTGCTGCATCAGACTTGTTGGGGGATGCAATGTTTATTTGAAGAGAGAAAAGGACTAAGCTGACTGGCTGCTATTGATGACTGCCTTTATTTTGAGTATCAAACAATTGCATGGGGCTAGAGAGGAGTGAGGAGAAGGCACAGAATTGCTAGACTGCTTTTCTTTTTTCTGTTAGGTGTCAGTATTCCAATTAGCTGTTAAAAGGGTAGAGGAAACAAGAGGAAGCCTTTAACTCTTTAGAGTGATGAAAGAAAAAAATTAATCCAGGAAGAACTGGAAAAATAAAGTTAATGTTCCTTTTTCATCAAAAAGATATGTAAGGGGGAAAAAGAAAATTCTAATGTTTGAGACCATTAAAAACAGGAAAATAAGTATATTCACTAATTATGTATTTTTAAATGTATGCATTTTAAACAAGTGTTTACAACCATTTGGCTTTTTTTTTTTTTTTTTTTGCTGTTCCCTGTTACATACTACTTTTTATGGTAGAGGGCAATGCTCTATAAACTGCACGCCCACCCATGCAGTTACTTCATAAAGTGAAACATCAATAAATCATGCTATGCTTTGCATTCATAGGCTTTAAGTGACAGGGTTCTATAGGTGAAATGCAGACCACCTAGCAAAGCAGACTGTCCTTGGAGGGTGAGCACAAGCTCAATCCAAGCAGCATTGCTCTGCTCAGTCTTGAAATCGTTAAAATAGGAACACAGCAAATGCAGTGAAGTGAATGTTCCCCTTTCTATGTTTCTGTTATATTTTTATATTTCTAATATACTCTCTCGCTCCCTAGAAAAGGGGATAGCTACCAATAGGAGGGCATGGTTAGAGAGCTACACAAGTGCTCTTCAGACATAAAAAGGTGCAAATGCTTGGTGTAGCAGTCTCTCATCAAGGAAGAGGTTAGAAATAAGCTGCCTCTTTTATATTAGGTCTGAAAATTGTACAATTTTTCCAGCTTTCTACAGCTTTATGAGGTGATTGTCAGGTTCCAGGTGGCACAAATTTAAATTTTGTAAAATAATGGAAGTTAACTGGATTGCTTTATTTTTTTTCCAAAATATTAAACCCATATAAATATTCCCTTGAATTCCTTTGTTATACTTGAAATGCTTTTGTCACTCTTGGTCTGTTTATAACCTAATCATAGTACTTCAGAGAGTGAAGCACAATGACCAAACTTTGAACTTGATACATGCATTTCCTTTATTAAAAATGATCAAATAAAGGAATGAAATAAACAGAAATATCACATAAAAGTACACTCGATTTTTGCAGAGCTTCTCAGTTCTTGTCAACATATACATATAACATTTTATTTTGAGAATGTCCAGAGCACTAAAGCTACTTTATGTGATAAAGAATTTTCTTTTTATTGCCAGAGGTTAAAGATTTTCTTTTCCCTAGTTAACATGGAGGTTTTGTGAAGAAAAATATAACAACTAACAGGAACGAATATAGGCTTTTTTAGCATTTTTAAAACAGGTTAAATACAGGGTAAGATACTTCTCTCCCTCTGTTCAAGTAATAATAATGACTGGTGCTTCTCCAAGGACTGATTTCCCACTGTACAAGTCCAGTCTTGCTAATTCTGCTGCAATCACTTGACTTACAGTAAAATTAGTAAGATGAAGGATCAGAATCTCTGTTTTCCAAAGTACACACCGAGAGTGAAAATGATGCCTAAAATCCCACAAAACTATAATGGCCCAGTTAGGTCTCTATGGCCAAAAGATTCCATGGTATTTGGAAGAGTTTTTCTGGGCAAGGAGGAAGTAGTTTTCATGCCTAGTTCTGTATGCTCTTTTACAGGTGCTTCAAGCATATCTACTACTTTGTAAAATGAGTTTGGGACCTTTCAGGATTGGTGTGAAGTTATTGTTCTGCTCTTAAAAACTAGACCCAAATTCAACTGAAGCTGAGCACTGCCTGCAGTGGCCACTGTATCCCACCAGTCCTTAGGCAAAGTGTGTATCACGGGAGGGCAGAGATATCCTCTGGCTTATGGTACATAACTTCATGCTGAATCTGAGCACCACTGCTCCCACTTTGGAAGTAAATGTTTTTGAACATGTTTCTAAGGGAGTAAATTCCAAATAGAGCACTTTTTGGCTATTGGGGGTTTTTGAGTTTGGTGGCTGGGGTTTTTTTGGTGTGTTTTTTTTCTGGTTGGTTGGTTTTGGGGGGGGTGGATTGTTTTGTTTTGTTGTTAGTTTGGGGGTATTTTTGGTGACACGGAAGAGCTTAAGTAATCCCTGTCATATGTAAAGATTGTTTCGGGAAATTGGCTTTTCACATTTCAATTAGCTTCCTCTAACGCTCCAGCTAAAACCTAAGCCACATTATCGTTATGTTCAGAAGGTGAAGGAAACAAAAAAGTGAATCACTTATCATTTTCTATAGCTACCATCTTCTCTGACTTAATTAAAACATGACATTAATTTGGAAACCATTCAGCTACAGATATATATTTAAATGGTTATAATATAATTATGATAGATGCCAAAATTTTGTTCATTCACTCTTAACAGTTTATTTTAGGAAACTCAGTCCAGCAGGATGAACCTTTAATATACAAATTATTGCAAGGAAGAAAATTTTATGATGTCTGTTAGTTAATACAGAAGCCAATCTTATTAATCATGGATTTACAGAGGGCTGTTTTATTAGATGTTAACCAGAGCTTATGTTGACAATTGATTTTCATTGTAGGACAACTAAATTTATTATTTGTAAAAAGATAAAGATAATTAAATTTACTTTATAAAGGTTACTATAATAAATGTTAGTACTTGACAATAGCAAACATTAAACTGCCTTAGCAGCAAAAATTCAGTTAAGTGATAGGTGGTTTTTTTTCCATTACATTTAATAGTCCCTGAACATTTTTAGCCTTCATTTTATTTCCCAGAGTTTACGCCTATTGCTGTGAAAAACTGTTTAGGCTGAAGCCTCATTTTTAGTTTATTTTCTTTCCAATAAAACAGGGTCAAAACATTTTTAAAGTTGTAGAAGTAAAATAAAACAAATTAAATCTTTAAGTACAAATGTATTATGTCATCCTGTCATTTCTCATATTTGTCATGAGATTATTCAGACTCTGTTGAAAAATATGTTGGAGCTACAATAAAATTGGACACCTAGGGGGTTTTAAGAATGAGAAAGAGTATTACTAAGGAAGTTAATTTGGACCTTTGCTTCTTGCTCCAAGGGAAAGTACAAATCTTGCACAGCCAGGATCCAAGTATTACAGAGCAATTCCTCCTCTCTGTGGCATTCCTGCTG